AACATTATTGATAATAACCCACTCTCTCTCTTGTAATTTTTTTTTTTTATAGTTGAAAGTCTGTATTCATTTTTCTAGTCGAACTATTAGTTTTTACTCTGTCCTATTTTGCTGTTTATTTATCATTATGTTTCTTAGGTATTTTTGATTAATTTACAATTTTATGTTAAAAGACTATGACTATTAACATATTTGGAATGGTGACTGTTAAAATTAAGATTTGTTTTGCTTAAGGCAGCTGTGGTTCTTTTCATTGTATGTAGCTATATGGGTATCACACATAATGTCAAATACATGTACACAAACAAAGTGAATTTTAAATTAAAATCTAAAAACATAATTACTGGTCTATATAACATTTTTGAACTGCATATAACTGTATAAATATTTTGAATGAAATAGAGAAGGGGGAGATGCCTAGAAAACATATGTCACATTTCTCACACTAGGGGAAATTCTGGATTTTTTTAATATTGCCTTATAAAATTAAGAAGTTAAAACTTATCTACTATTAAAATATGGGTTATTAGCTATGATTTTATGCTATACTAATTGGTATAACAAACAAAAGATTGTTTAATTAAGTTTTAAATGTAAGTCACTAAAACCTTGTGACATCAGCAATAAAGGATGCCCGTGGCCATAGGGTTAAGGTTAGATTAGGTAAAATAAATAATAATAAAAATTTTCCTGAGGCACGCATGCGAGCAGTTCAGAGTAGCTTATAAGTAATGTAATTCAATAGTGTGACATGAGCCACACATTCTCCAAGTGATTTACAACTCAAAATGGCACAAATAGTAGTTAGACACTGTTCAAAAGGCAATAACACTATAAAATTTGAGTATACATAGGTGTATACTGTTACAATTTGAAGTCATTCTAGAAAGAAAAAAGGGTAATTTAGATTTATTTCAATTTTGTTTGGTGGTGACGAGGTCATTCAAATTGACCAACCTTGTATAGAGTTAGGGTAAAGAAAATAACAGATAAAATATAAAGTTTTACTGAAAAAAAAACATTTGAAATGTACTTGGAAAGTTTTAGACATTACAAAAATGAGATTTTTGAGATGAAGAAAAGTATTTTTAATCTTAACATGAAAAATCACTTTGATCTCGGACTAGTCCAAAAATGACTCGATATAGTCGCAAACAAATCTTATTAAAAATACTTCACTAACAAATCTGAATTTTTTGTATGTAAAAGACTTGTAATGTTTGCTGAAAGTCTGACTAGATTAAAAGTTAGTAGTATCAAAACTATAATGAGTACAAACTGGTCATATGGTTGGTCCATTCGACCAAGCCCATGCAGAGAGTGTTAATAAGTCTGATGATTAATCAGTTAGCAAATTAAAATAATCACCTTGCTCTAACAACTGTTTACAATTCTGAAATATGAACTGATGCCTCTATCAAATCCTTATCCAAGCCCATAATGTATCGAAGTATCACTTTTGTCTTAAAGGTCATTGGATCATCATCCTACAAAATGTCTTCATCAAATTCTCAAAGAAGTTTGTAGCTAGAAGACTTGTCTAACAGATCAAATCAATACCACCATCATCATAATAAATAAACATAGTATTCCAAAAACTGTTTAATCTCGAAGTCTAAGTTCAGGGGAGGTGCAGATCAATCTACACTTTGATCAACGTGTGTCATTAGGTTACACTAGTTTCGGAGAATAGCACTCCTCATCATTAACCCAGAACACAAGCTAACCAGAGATAAGCTCATCTATCCAGTGTATAGATTTTTCTCATAGTGACTATAAAGCATGTTCACACCAACAGTGTGTTTGACCACCTTCATCATTAGGTGTTTAGTGCAGTGGAATAGAAAACTAGATCAATGCTGCTAAATTTGCAGCTGATATGTGGGAAGACTTTGAGATCTAGCAGCTTGAGATCTAGAATATGCCTGCAGTAGAGTCCAACTGCTCATTCTTGCTAACAAAAGTGTGAGAATAAGCATTCTTATAACGTGTGTGAAGATGGGTTGTAGCTGTACAAACTACCAGAAGATGTAGCATGGAAGCTGCCAGTCAGACTGGATCATCACCAGTGCTGTTCTATGCCAATGATCTTCACTCTTGCCAGTTCTTGTCAACATCTACACCAATTGATCTAGCCCACCTTAAGAGTCAAGTCACATATCATGTGGTAACGTCTGTTGACAAAATTCTAGTGTACAGTAGAGACTTTAGCAAAGTTGAAATCAAAAGCACCATGCAATCATTCCTTAGTAGGGTGAGCAAATAGTGCAATGACACAGGAATGCTCATCAATCCTGCAAAAGCCACAGCCATGTTCTGTACACTCAACAACAGACATACTGATGAGGATAAACCATTACCATCCTTAGTAAGCACTGCTATCCCTTTGGAAGAAATACTAAAAGGATTACCTCTGACAGACAATTTCACCAGCCACATTGACATTATTATAACCAGTTACCAAAGGCACCACTTCCTTCAAGGTTGCATCAGGAAATAGAGTTGAAAATATCACCTGCTTGTGCTCTACCAAAGCCTTATACACTCCTTCCTCGGTAATGCATAGTCAATTATTCGTACAATTGCTACACATCTAGAAAAGATGCAAAACATCTGATTAACCCCCAACTTGGGGACACTGACAACCCCTGCTCTTTTTATCCTCATACATCAAATGCTAACCATATTACATGAAACTTGCCACACACTTTCTATCTACATTATATCTATTTTGTGCTTCACATTTTTTAATTTGGTTTCATATTTTTATAGGTTTAAGTATAAATTTTTGGAAATTTTTTGTGCAATGCTGTTTTAATAAACAATAAAAAGTACTTCCTTTCATTGTACATTTTCTGTTTCTTTATTGTTTACCTGAAATATCTTAAGTATGTCAAATAGTGTTATTTTCAAATAAAACTAATTTCTGTATTTATTCTACTAACAACATACTCATTTTCTCATCTGTCCATACAACGTCTGATATACATTGAAATTAATTATTGAAAAGTATTAAAGAAAGAAAACTTTGTTATTATTAATGTCGATCACAAAGTTCCATTTTATATGTCCGATGAGTTCTAACTTATTTTTTATTATTTACCTCTACTCATTTAAGTAGTTATGTAGCTGTAAAAATATCATTAAACTCTGATCAACTGTAAAAACACAAGTAGATACACAACTTGCATCCTAGGAATATGCTGATATAGGTGATATTTTTATAGCTATATTTTTAATCAAGCTCAAGTTCTTTCTAACAATTACCATTTCTTTTTAATAAATAAGGAGGCCATGTACTTGTATGTGTTATTTGAGGATATAAAATTTACAAATATATACAATAAAAAGTTTTTCTGTCATTTGAATTGTTTACCATTGCAAAATTTCTAGCTAACCATACTCACTCACCATAAATATCCTTACCTATTGTTTTCTCATAGAACAATATTCCTGTAGCTTTCAAACAAACATACTATAATACCACAATATTAATACTGATGAAGCAGCAAAAGAAACTATAAAATATTTGTAGGTTTGTGGCTTGTTTTCAAGTGTTGTGAACTTCATGTTGGAATCCATTGTTCACCACTCTAGGAACATTGGCTGGTCACTTTCTTGGAAAACATATATTACTACTTATCCCATTAATTGCTTTACATTGATGTAGATTAACAAGAATATTTTCTGTCCAATTATTTTTAGCCATTAGTTCTATATCTTTTCACAGCTATATTAGTTACTGTCCACCCCACTTGCTATAAAAGCTGCCCACTCAAGGTTGTAGAAATAAAATCACTGATACCAAAGGAAAGTGGCATGACAAACAAAACATAGATAAGTCTATTTCCATTAGACTAAAGTTCCTGAGTAAGTATAAACCTTTACATTAGAAAGAACAGAAAATTCTAAAAGTTTATAGGCAATACCCAACAAAGCTGCTCAGAAGTCAAAATTTAATCATATTTTACATTTTTCTTTGTAAATTGCCCCAAACAAATATTACATAATTAAAAAATATCAATTCTAAAATATAGGTCTGAGTAAAAATATTGTTCAAAATAACATTAGATTACTATTTTAATTTCAATTTTGAAATTTGATATGCAAGTGTGCACTCGTTATTAGAAAGCTGCTTTTGTGAGTTGTAGTAGAATTAAGACTGGTCATGGAAGTACTCCATCCGTCCCTTTTCACATCACAACTCTCATCAGCATCACAAAACATCAACAATGTTACAAGCAAAATTCTTCACTAGGTCTTGGTGTAATGACCACCATTCTATCATAAAGGCACTGGTCTTTTTAGTTGGGACATTTCAGCTCCACAATGACCCTGCCAACACAAACAAGCTGGAAACTATAAAGCTAGCTCTTCTGTGAATTGATCAAAAGAACAAACCATAAATAGACAATGCCAGCAACATGATATCTGTAACTGACTCGCAGATAATACTGCATACAATCAGAGTGGTTGGATGGATGGCAGAAAGCAAAGCAACCACATAGTAAGACCACTGTCTTGATACATATTTCACATCATGCTAAATAAGGAGGTTATAAGCTCTTGAAAGAAATCCCCTTTATCAAATTTGGCAAAACTATTCTGATAGGATATCAACCTACTATGCAATAGTATGGTGAAAATGGTTGCTATGAGTGGTCTTCAATATTTAGAGGGAAAAAGACTAGTGTAAAACGAAGTATCATATAATATATAGCTCAGAAAAGCAAATGATGGGAAATTAATACGGCAGTATTGTTTACCCTGCTCTAGTTAATATGGCAGGATCATTTGTTGGTTGCTTTAGTTGAAAGATCAGTATATAATGTGCAAGTTTTGTGGTTAATATGTAGTTAAAATCAAAATCTGTTGTTTTAATGATTAGCAAGTTGGACCACACTAGTATTTTATTTGAGTTTTCATAAATACTTTACACAAATGGCTTATTAACCAAACTATAACTTTGTATGTTTAACTTTTTTGTTTTTATATTTCAGTGCTTCAGTAGACTGTGTTCAACTAATCAATGAACAACATTTTGTTTCTGGTACAGATGATGGGTATGTGTTTTTCTTTTCTCTCAGTATTTTTTGAATTTGCTGAAAATGTTTTGTGAAAAAAAAAAAACATTTTCATTGTATCATTTGTTACAAAAAGACAGAAAAATTGGTATACAGTGAATGAAAGTAAATACATACATGTTTACACAGAAGTGAAAACCATAAAAGTAAAGTATAATAAGCAACAATGAATTAAGATTAAAATTTGATTAAAAGCACCTGATTTGGTGGAGAAAATAAAGGAGACTTAGCTTATCCATTAGCTAGGATGATTTTTTTTTGTTTTGTTTTTATGTTTGTTGCAAATGTTTCTTGATGTTTTACTTTATTCTATATACTTAATGTGTTTATTCATCCTTAAAAAACAGGTTTAAAAGGATATCTAAAATTTTTCAACTGTTTCTGACATTCAAGACACCAATAAAGAAATCATAGAATGGAGTATATTTACCACTTCAGTCATATTTTAATTCCATTAAAAACTGCACAGCTGATGTGGTTTTCATATTCTAACATTACATTTTTTTATCTTATGTAGAGTGCTGATCAGTGTCAAGAGAGCAAAGACTCTATGTGTTCAAATGAAAGAAAACACAGTTCTCAAAATTAGACCATCTTGTTTATGTGCAACCACTTTGAAGAATCATTTATAATATTTCCTTACCATCACATATTTATTAGATGTTATCTTAAAATAATAGCTGCTCTTTAAGTTACAAATTCATGTCTTCTCAAGATTATATCTACTCTATAAGTTGTACGCTCGGATCATCTTAAACTTATGGATACTCCATAGTAACTTTCTTAGCTTCTCAAAGTTGTAACTACTTCACAAGTTATCCACTCAGATCTTCTCAAAATTATAACTATTCAGTATTTTATGTCTTTTCAAATTTATAGCTATTCTGTAAGTCACGCTTATGTCTTCTCATGTGAAAATCCTTATTATACTTCAAACCAAGCATTTAGGTCTTACCTGTAAAACACAGTCTGCTGTCTTACCTTCATATCCTTTAAGAAATACACTCAGGGTACTCTTTAAATATCTTTATAACTGTATGTAATTGACACACTCAATATTTTTATAATCTTGGCAAAATAAATTGTGATGATTCTTAATTCTGTTTCTCCTAGAACATTGTCTTTATGGGGAGTTTTAAAGAAGAAACCATTAACTAGCGTACAAGTAGCACATGGTCATGCTACTGACAACCAACTTCCATTCTGGATTTGTTCAGTTGCATCTCTTCAGAACACAGACATTGTTGCTTCAGGTATGTTGAGCATTATTCTAATGGTCGATATGTTGTAACTCGTGAGTTTTCCTTAAGTTGATCTGAGACTTTCTTCAATCTAGAACATCAAATATTGTCAATATTTTCTATTATGCTACAAATATTTTAAGTTCTTGTGTAACTTTGGGTGGAGCTAAATGATTATTGGAATTTAGTAATCAATTAATCACCAGACTTATTAATAGATTACATTCAACTAATTGATTATTCTCATATGAGGCTAATCTTCCTATTTTCACATTGTTTTATTTAAAGAAATTTTTGAACAACCATTTGTTCAATAGACATTTATAGGTGCAAAAGTTTAAAACTAAATTGTCATACATGAAAATGTATCATATATACAATGTAATACAAAACCTGTAACAAGCTGAAAATACTATTAATAACATTCTGTAAGTTTCACTAAATTAACAAATTCTCTTTTAAAAAATATTTTTTTATATATTTCATGATAAAACTAGCAAAGATTTTTTCACATTGTGTGGTAGATAATTTATAATTCAATGAAAATAAAATTCTCACAGATTCTAGAAAACCAAAGACTACAATTAATATTTACTGTTTGGCAAGAAAATTTGTGATAATACTAGATGATCTCTTTACAGAGATTGAAATTATTATTAATGTGAAAATCAAATTATTATAAGATATATTAAAATAGTATTAAGCTACTTTTTTTTAACATGAAAATTTATTATATATGCTACACTGATTAAACTGAACAACCTTGAATTAATCAAAATTAGTAATGAGAAATGATAATGGCAATATTTCTTTTACTTGGATAGTTGGAATAATTGAAAACTAATAATTCAAATTTCTAATTTTGATGAATCGGTTATTTTACATAACACCACTCAGTATAATTAAAGCTCACAGGTAATCGACTAATCAAGTTAATTCTAACCTCAGGTATTATTGATTATTGTTTCATGAGATATTGTGATATTTACTATGATGTTTGAGATATTATAGTTCTATTTTTTAGGTATTATGGTTTATTATGATACTTCGGTATTAATAGTTACTCTGATGTAGTCTCTTCAATGATATTTACTAATTTTGTTGCTATTGGACTGCTAAACTTATATTATTACAAAGTTCATTTTATACATTCATATTAGATTTTAATATTCATATAATAAGATTCAGTGTATGTCTCATGTAACTCCTCTAAAGCTACTGATTGCACTGAATTGTCTTAGTACTGATATTTACATAAAGGTAAAATATTTCACCCCAACCTTCACCCATTATATTTGCATTACAGTGGCCTTGTAAATGTGGGCCCCAGTTCCATGGATTTGCTAGTGCTTAATAACATTCAGTAGTGTTCATAATGTATACTTCTATAATTTGTATTTTATGTTGTGTTTTGAGTTGACTTTTAGCATAATTTGAAGAGCTATAAATCAGTTTATCTTGATATATACTGTTTTTTTTATTGCTTTATTTTATTCTGACTTTGAAATTAATTGCTGATTTAGGTTTACCTGATGGCAGTTATTTATTGATCTAGGTTCACATGATGGTGAGGTTAGAATATGGAAGTGTGAAGAAGATTTTCGAAATCTCACGCTCTTATGTACAGTTCCTATTGTAAGTTGTTTTTATAATCCCCTGAGCTTAATACATTATACCTGTGTTATACTGATATGAAAAAATAACATTGGCTTTAAGTTTTACTACTTTTTCTCCTATATAAAACTTGTGTCTTCTACATGATATAGGTCTGGTATGGCCTGGTGGTTAGGATGCTCAACTCACAATCTGCAGTAATCAGTCTCACTATTCATTGCTGAAAGAGTAGTCCAAGAGTTGGCAGTGGGTGGTGATGACTAGTTGCCTTTCCCCTGGTCTTTCACTGCTAATTAAGGATGGTTAGTGCAAATAGCCCTCAAGTAGCTGTGCACAAAATTAAAACCAAACCAATCTTCATGGTATATATAAAACTTGAACAATCTCACTAAGCTCATACTTGAAGATATTGACAGTTATTATTATTATTAATTCTAGGTATTTGCTTGTTACCTAACATCAAGAACTTCGTTGTTACTTTCCAATTTTTACTAATACTGGATGCTTGCTTCTTATTTTCCATTTCAGCTAATACTGTACACTTGCTTCTTACTTTCCACTTTTACTAATACTGAGTACTCAGTTCCTACCTTCCACTTCTATTAACCCTTTTGAGACAGGTCACAGATGAAAGGCCATGTCATCTTGTTTGTTGACTTGCGCTCAAAATTTTATTGAACTGCTATTTCATGAATTTATGTAAATAAGTTTGGTATCAAAATGTAGATTATAATTCAAATTTTAGTACTATACATTACTCACTTTCTTAATTTAAAAGCAAATATTAAAAAAATACAGAAAAATCGATTTTTGTGTGTCACGTGGTATGTTGAATGTAGCACTGGTTCAAATTTGATGTTTGTGAAGTCAAAATACTAAGTCTGTAGATTCGAACAAATTAGAAACTTAAATTACTGATATTGATAAGCTAGAATATAAAATAAGAACCTCTTATCTTTTCAATTTGCTTAGATATTGCTCATGTAATAAATCAAACACAGTGGCACCATGCCCACCTCCTTCCATTTTGGAAATGCTCCCTTACATACATATACTTCTATATATGACATGAATAACCAATCGGAAGCTCAGAATGTTCCGCTAGTGGCTTTCTCAGCTATTTTAAACGGACTTGGCACCATTTCTTTCTTTTGAACCAATATTTCAATGAGG